GACTCTCTGTGACTCTCTGTGACTCTGTGTTTCTCTGTGTCTCTCTGTGACTCTGTGTTTCTCTGTGACTCTCTGTGACTCTCTGTGGCTCTTTGTGACTCTCTGTGGCTCTCTGTGACTCTCTGTGACTCTGTGTTTCTCTGTGACTCTCTGTGTGACTCTCTGTGGCTCTCTGTGACTCTCTGTGGCTCTCTGTGGCTCTCTGTGACTCTCTGTGGCTCTCTGTGGCTCTCTGTGGACTCTCTGTGGCTCTCTGTGACTCTCTGTGACTCTCTGTGGCTCTCTGTGACTCTCTGTGACTCTCTGTGTTTCTCTGTGACTCTCTGTGGCTCTCTGTGGCTCTCTCTGTGGCTCTCTGTGGACTCTCTGTGGCTCTCTGTGACTCTCTGTGACTCTCTGTGGCTCTCTGTGACTCTCTGTGACTCTGTGGCTCTCTGTGGCTCTCTGTGTTTCTCTGTGACTCTCTGTGGCTCTCTGTGACTCTCTGTGGCTCTCTGTGACTCTCTGTGGCTCTCTGTGGCTCTCTGTGACTCTCTGTGACTCTCTGTGACTCTCTGTGTTTCTCTGTGACTCTCTGTGACTCTCTGTGACTCTCTGTGTTTCTCTGTGACTCTCTGACTCTCTGTGACTCTCTGTGACTCTGTGTTTCTCTGTGACTCTCTGTGACTCTCTGTGTTTCTCTGTGACTCTCTGTGACTCTCTGTGACTCTCTGTGACTCTCTGTGTTTCTCTGTGACTCTCTGTGACTCTCTGTGACTCTCTGTGACTCTCTGTGACTCTCTGTGACTGTGTTTCTCTGTCTCTGTGACTCTCTGACTCTCTGTGCTCTTGACTCTCTGTGACTCTCTGTGACTCCTCTGTGTTTGACTCTGTGGACTCTCTGTGACTCTCTGTGACTCTCTGTGACTCTCTGTGTGACTCTCTGTGACTCTGTGACTCTCTGTGTTGTTTCTCTGTGTGTGACTCTCTGTGACTCTCTGTGACTCTCTGTGGCTCTCTGTGACTCTCTGTGTTTCTCTGTGGCTCTCTGTGACTCTCTGTGACTCTCTGTGTTTCTCTGTGGCTCTCTGTGGCTCTCTGTGACTCTCTGTGTTTCTCTGTGGCTCTCTGTGACTCTCTGTGGCTCTCTGTGACTCTCTGTGTTTCTCTGTGACTCTCTGTGACTCTCTGTGTTCTCAGATCGGACACTTTGGACCCGACTGTCAGAAGAGGTGTGATTGTTTCCAGGCGACGGGGGGACGGGCAGTGTCGGGTGGACGGGTCGGGTCGGGTGGACGGTGTGTCGGGGTGGACGGGTCAGTGTCGGGGTGGACGGGTCAGTGTCGGGGTGGACGGGTCAGTGTCGGGGTGGACGGGTCAGTGTGTCGGGGTGGACGGGTCGGGGTGGACGGGTCAAGTGGTGGTCGGAGTGTCGGGGTGGACGGGTCAGTGTCGGGGTGTCGGGGTGGACGGGTCAGTGTCGGGGTGGACAGGGTCACGGGGTCAGTGTCGGGGTGGACGGGTCAGTGTCAGTGGGGTGGACGGGTCAGTGTCGGGGTGGACGGGTCAGGTCGGGTCGGGTCGGGGTGGACGGGTCAGTGTCGGGTGGACGGGTCAGTGTCGGGGTGGACGGGTCAGTGTCGGGGTGGACGGGTGTCAGTGGGGATAATATAATCATAAATCCCATGATTAACGATCTTCAAACAAAACGTATATACCACTGCTCTCGTTCGCAGTGTTGGGGAGTAACAGATTACATGTCGGAGTTAAAGGTGTATAGAGGATTTTCCAAGGAACGAGAATCCAGCGACTGTTTGTCCTTTTTCAAATGTTGCGCATGCGTGAAACCACCCCCCCTCCCCACAGCTCCTACGTAGAAACACCTCCTCCCTCCTCATCTTACGCCAGAAACCGGTGGCACATGACTTGTAAACAACTAACTACAGTGTTGGTTAGGCAAGCGGAGAAGTGAGGAGCGGGGGAGGGGGTGCGACATTTTCGTTCGCGGACGAGAAGTGAGGTAGCAGGGAGAAGAGGAGCAGGGGAGAGAGGAGAGAGGAGAGAGGAGAGAGGAGAGAGGAGAGGTGCGCGGAGATTCCGTGCCCGTAGAAGTGAGGAGAAGGGGGAAGAGCGGAACGGGCAGCGGCGACAGGAGTAGGAAAGGGAGCAGAGAAGGTTGCGCGGAGTCAGTGCGAATGAACTAGTACAACACGCAGCAGCAAGCGGGACTCTTTCTTTGCCTTGAAAATTACGTTTTCAGACATAGGATATCGCTTTCGTGTCTGAAAAACGTTTGACTAGCTCTTGGAAATAAAGTACGTTTTCATAATAAGCAGAAGTTACCTGTCCAGGAGTAATTTGGCAACCAATGCGTCAGTCTTTAGACCCTGCGTCTGCTATCAGTCGCGCCATCGCTGGAATGAATCTACAAGGAATCACCTTAGTTTGGCTTCGCTGCTTTTCCCCTTGTTTTCTTCTTTTCAGCGACCTCAAAAACGGACTTTCTTTTGCGGCTAACTGCTCCTGGATTCTTGTTTGCCATTTGCAACAAACTTTGTGCTAACTGCGAGGAAGATATAGGTCAAAAAAGCCGCTAAGAACTGTTGCGATTGGTGGGTAAACAGCGTCTGTGCGTCTTGCGTCTGTGGACTGCGTGACAGCGTACGTAAACACGTACCGGCGGCGCGCAGGCAAGTCAGTTTACGCTAGAAACGTAGGGAGTTTGATTGATAGCCTGTCAGCTAACAGATAACGAGGCCGTGTCGTTATCTATTGGCAAATGTTTAGCCCCCACCACGTCCAGAGTTGGAATTTTTATTCTCTTTTTTTGGTCATATAATTACAAGGCTACTGCACCTCTATAATGCTATCATTGAAACTTGAAACAAAAAAACAAAAAAAAAAATCCTCCATACAACCTTTAAGTAATCAGAGTACAAATTGAAGTAACTGTATTCAGTTACAGTTACTGTTTCAGTGAGTGGTAATTGGATTACAGTTACTTTTGTTGAAATAAAATGGATTAAACAGAGGGATTTTACTGTTTTCATACTTTGGGGCTAAACCAGGACTAAAACCAGGACAATATCAAGTAATCCAAAGTATTCAGATTACGTTACTCATTTTAAGTAATTTAATGGATTCTGTTACAAACTACATTTTGGTGTGTGTAATCTGTAATCTGTAGGGGATTACATTTTAAAAGTAACCTTCCCAGCACTGCTCGTGTGGTGCACCTCGATCCTCGTGCAAAGGCAAAGTACACGGAGGATCTCAGGTGGAGCTGGGTTCTGTCGGTCGGATCTTTGGCGCCGTGTACGTGGTCCAAACCGGTTCAGTCCAGTTAATAATCCATGTTACGTCCTTTCGATCCTGAACAAGCGTCAGCGGCACAGGTGAGTCAGGGCGTCGCGCTCGCGCTCACACGTGTCTCTTTACACCAGGAGAGTCAAACTCATTTTGTTCCGGGCGTCGAGTCCAACCGACTTTGATCCAAAGTGTCCGGATCAGAAAACTCATGTCATATAAACCCCAAAAATAACAATAAGTTCAAATATTTGTGCAGAGAAACACAAATCTATTACAGAAATCTTTTTTAATTGATGAACTCTTTCTTTTACAAAATATTATAATATTATGAACAACCTGAAACTTTGAAGAAAAATGCAATTTCAACACAAAGTTTTGAACATGAACTTGTCTGTAAACAGGGGAATAAGTCCAAATTGTAAAATCCTGCACTCGGCTCCACTTTTCTCATGTGGACATTTTTTCTGATGAGGGATGTCACGGTCAACAGTCAAAACGATCGTCCTTTAAGAGCGTTTGGAAAGAGACAAGTCTTCATTTGTGCTGCTCTGGTGGGAGGGGCCACGTACAGAGACGCTGGAGACGCTGCTGTGATAAACACCACAGAAAATTAACACCATTTTAATAGAAAATATAATTAAAATATTTTAGTAGAAAATCAGCCGAGGGCCAGATTAAAGGTCTTGGAGGGCCGGATCTGGTCCCCGGGCCGTATGTTTGACACCTGTGCTTTATATTATTAGGCGTGCGTCAGCTGACGGGACGATCAGCTGATCACGTAAACAACAACAGAAAAAGATCGACCACGATACACTTTATGAACAAAGAAAAAAACACTTAACCATTTTATGTTTCCCGGGCAACAAGTGTTTTTCATTGTTTAAAAGTTGAGTGATGCTGAATGTCACTAACAATAAAATCTCCTCATTCATGTTCAATAATGAAAAAAATCCAACTTTATTTTGTGATTTATGAATAATGTTTATTCAGTTGAGTCGTGAAAGTTTGTGACTCTTAAAATATAAATCCCCAGAGAAGAAGTTTGGGAAACACTGGACTGGATCATTTCAGACAAACTCCATGACGACTCGACCTTTGTGACGTGTTTTTCTTATAATGGATGAAAGTCTGGAGAAAATCAAACTAATAATAATAATAATAAAGATCAGGTCCGTTTGTGCCTTTGGCCTTTGCACGGAAACTTATTTTATTCTCATGATCCAAAAGCAGATACAGGAAGTGACCAGTGAAGGTCAAAGGGACATTCTGACCTCAGGAGTTTTCACATATAAATATTTCTTCATTAGTACGACGCAGTTTAAGAGTCAAATAAAAAAATGATGCTGGTGCTACGAGAATAAAGTCGAAACATTTTGACATTAAAGTCGTAATTTTACAAGAATAAAGTTGTAGCAAAGTAGTAATTTTATGAGAATAAAATAGTAATCGAAATAAAGTCGTAATATTATGAGAATATCGACGATTTGGAAAGTCTGGACGAGTCTGAGTCTGAGTCTGAGTCTGAGTCTGGAGAAACTGGATCATTTTGTAAAAGAGAAGAATCTGTGGATCATTCGTTCATTCGACTGAAAAAGGACTAAACCAGGTCCAGAACCAAACCAGAACTAAGACCAGGACTGAGACCAGGACTGAGACCAGGATTGAGACCAGGACCAGACCAGGACTGAGACCAGGACCAGACCAGGACTGACCAGGACTGAGACCAGAACTAAGACCAGGACTGAGACCAGGACCAGGAGAGACCAGGACCAGACCAGAACTGAGACCAGGACTGAGACCAGGACCAGACCAGGACTGAGACCAGGACTGAGACCAGGCCCAGACCAGGACTGAGACCAGGACCAGACCAGGACTGAGACCAGGACTGAGACCAGGACCAGACCAGGACTGAGACCAGGACCAGACCAGAACTGAGACCAGGACCAGACCAGGACTGAGACCAGGACTGAGACCAGGACCAGACCAGGACCAGACCAGAACTGAGACCAGGACTGAGGCTGGGGCCAGACTAGGACTGAGACTAGGACTGAGACCAGGACCAGACCAGGACTGAAAACTGTTTACTCCTGGTTTAAGTCACGGAAATGGGAAACGGTTTTTCTGTGACTTAAAATGCGATGTGGGACTATTGCAGACCAGGACTAAACCATTTTCAGTCCTGGTCTGAACCCGGTCTCAGTCCCGGCCTCAGTCCCAGTCTCAGTCCTGGTCTTGGTCTGGTCCCGGTTTAGTCCTGGTTTAGTCCTGGTTTAGTCCTGGTTTGTTTAGTCTGGTTTAGTCCCAGTCCTGGTTTAGTCCTGGTTTCAGTCCTGGTTTACTGGTTTAGTCCTGGTTTAGTCCTGGGTTTAGTCTGGTTTAGTCCTGGTTTAGTCCTGGTTTAGTCCTGGTTTAGTCCTGTTTAGTCGGCGCAAATGAAGAAAATAATAGTTTTTTCATTTTGTTATTTTTGGTTTTATTTTGAAAAACGACACAGGGACTGAGCTTCTTCTTCTGCCGCATTTTTCACTTCATCATAACATTATAACTTTATTCTCATCATATTATGTCTTTATTTTAAATTCAACTTTATTTGCGTAAAATTACAACTTTAACGCCAAAATGTTACGACTTTATTCTTGTAGCGTCAGCATCGTTTATTTTGTATCTGAGCCTTGTTCTCGGTCGTACGTTAGAGCAACTAGAGCCTGAACTGTTTCTACTGGACAAAACACAAACACTGAAGTCATTTTCCTCATTTTCACACTCTCTCTGTGTGTGTGTGTGTCTCTGTGTGTGTGTGTGTGTGTGCAGGGCCCCGCTGCAGTGAGCCGTGTGCTGAGGGACTGTGGGGACCCGGCTGTAACCAGAGCTGTGTGAAGCACTGCCCCAACAGCGCCACCTGCCTGCGGGACAGCGGGACGTGTGTGTGTCACCCGGGCTACTGGGGCCCGCGCTGCCAGACCAGTGAGTGTCCGAGTGTGTGTGTGTGTGTGTGTGTGTGTGTGTGAGTGTGTGTGTGTGTGTGTGTGTGTGTGTGCGTGTGTGTGTGTGTGTGTGTGTGTGTGTGTGTGTGAGTGTGTGTGTGTGTGTGTGTGTGTGTGTGTGAGTGTGTGTGTGTGTGTGTGTGTGTGTGTGTGTGTGTGTGTGTGTGTGTGTGTGTGTGTGTGTGTGTGTGTGTGTGTGTGAAAGGTTTGACAGCAGCAGCAGGAGTCAGGAGTTTGAGTCTTTACTTTCACTCTGCACCTGAAGTGACCCGGATCTGATTTTTTGGCCCCTGTGCTCCTGTACCTGATCTTTTTATTTATTTATTTTTTTTAATTTAACCTTTATTTAACCAGGAAAAAGTCTCTTTTTTAAGCTCGTCCTGGCCCAGAGTCACAAAACAGTTTTAGAACATATAAAAACAAACATACAAAACATTCAGTAAAACAGAACAATCAACACAAATTCAAAGATCGATAAAAACAAATTAAAATTACACCCAGAAGAAACTGTGCTTAATAAAAATCATAGTATATTTATAGATGAATATTTATAGATGAATATTTATAGATGAGTTTTTATAGAGCAGGAGCCTCCAGGACTCACCTCCTCCTTCCAAGTTTGCTCGCCAAAGAATTTCTGAATCATAAGTTTTGTGCTGAATAACAAAAATTTGCTGAATAGAAAAACTGTTAAAACTGTAAATGTATCGTGTTCATGCCAAACTTGACTTTCTGCACTAATAAATGCAGAACAGTGAATGTTTTAAAAACCTCTAACTGTTCTGATCGAAGCCGTGGTCCTGATGTAGTGAATTTATTCCTTTTTAAATGTTTTGTCAAGATTTTAGTGTGAATTATTTCAGTCAGAACAGAAAGAATTCAGATTTAAAAGAGCTTCTCAAGTCACAGGCCTCAAGTCCGAGTCGAGTCCCAAGTCTTAGTCCATTTTGTTAAGTCTCAAGTCCTAAAAACAGTGACTCAAGTCTGACTCGAGTCCGGGTCACGACTTGCAGGTCCCACCTCTGGGTTCTATCACAGTAAATATTTATTTATAAAACACTTTTGAAAACAAGATTTACAAAGAAGAACAGGAAAAGCATTAAACTGCAAACAGAAGGAACAAAAACAGACGATGATGCAAACAATCCTACAAATTATATAAAAAAAACAGAATAAAAATAAATAAAGAATAAAATCAAGTTAAAACCAGTTAAAGGAAGAACAGCTGATAAAAGTGAGTGTGAGGTTCTGGTGTGTGTGCAGTTCTTCCTCGTTGGGAAGGATGCACATTTTTTTAATCGTAGTTTTGATGTCGATGTTCAGACGAGGTCGAGTTTCCGACCGAGCGACGCACGTTTGTTCTGTTGTTCGTTTTGCTCCAACGCCTCAACAAACCAACATGAGACGTTCAATACTTTAATCCAGGGAAAAATCAAAATGAATGAAGTTTCTGGTTTAGCTGCAGCTGTGTGTGTGTGTGTGTGTTGTGTTGTTTGTGTGCAGAGGCGGTGTGTTGTGTGTTGTTGTGTGTCGTGTGTTATGTTGTGTGTCATGTGTGTTGTTGTGGTGTGTTATCTGTGTGTTGTGTTGTTGTTGTGTGCAGAGTGCAGAAGCGGTGTGTTGTGTGTCATGTGTGTTGTGTTGTTGTGTGTTGTGTGTCATGTGTGTTGTTGTGTGTTGTGTGTCATGTGTGTGTTGTGTGTTGTGTGTTGTTGTGTGTCATGTGTGTTGTTTGTGTGTTGTGTGTCATGTGTGTTGTTGTGTGTTGTGTGTCATGTGTGTGTTGTGTTGTGTGTTGTGTGTTGTGTGTTGTTGTGTGTTGTTGTGTGTTGTGTGTCATGTGTGTTGTTGTGTGTTGTGTGTCATGTGTGTTGTTGTGTGTTTGTTGTGTGTTGTTGTGTGTTGTGTGTCATGTGTGTTGTTGTGTGTTGTTGTGTGTGTTGTGTGTTGTGTGTCATGTGTGTCATGTGTGTTGTTGTCGTGTGCAGAGTGCAGAGGCAGTGTGTTGTGTGTTGTTGTTGTGTGTTATGTGTGTTATGTGTGTTGTGTGTCATGTGTGTTGTGTGTCATGTGTTGTGTGTTGTGTTGTTGTGTGCAGAGTGCAGAGGCGGTGTGTTGTGTGTTATGTGTGTTGTGTGTCATGTGTTGTTGTGTGTTGTGTGCAGAGTGCAGAGGCGGTGTGTTGTGTGTTGTTGTGTGTTGTGTGTCATGTGTGTGTTGTGTTGTTGTGTGCAGAGTGCAGAGGCGGTGTGTTGTGTGTGTGTTGTTGTGTGTCATGTTGTGTGTTGTTGTTGTGTGCAGAGTGCAGAGGCGGTGTGTTGTGTGTTATGTGTGTTGTGTGTCATGTTGTGTGTGTGTTGTGTGTTGTGTGTCATGTGTGTTGTGTGTTGTGTTGTGTGCAGAGTGCAGAGGCGGTGTGTGTGTGTGTCATGTGTGTTGTGTGTTGTGTTGTGTGTCATGTGTTGTGTTGTTGTTGTGTGCAGAGTGCAGAGGCGGTGTGTTGTGTGTGTTGTGTGTTGTTGTGTGTCATGTGTGTGTTGTTGTTGTGTGCAGAGTGCAGAGGCGGTGTGTTGTGGTGTGTTGTGTGTTGTTGTGTGTCATGTGTTGTGTGTGTTGTTGTGTGCAGAGTGCAGAGGCGTGTGTTGTGTGTTATGTGTGTTGTTGTGTGTTGTTGTGTGTTGTGTGTCATGTGTGTTGTGTGTTATGTTGTGTGTTGTGTGTTGTTGTTGTGTGCAGAGTGCAGAGGCGGTGTGTTGTGTGTGTTGTTGTGTGTTGTGTGTCATGTGTTGTGTTGTTGTTGTTGTGTGCAGAGTGCAGAGGCGGTGTGTTGTGTGTTATGTGTGTTGTGTGTTGTTGTGTGTCATGTGTTGTGTGTTGTTGTTGTTGTGTGCAGAGTGCAGAGGCGGTGTGTTGTGTGTTATGTGTGTTGTGTGTCATGTTGTGTGTGTTGTTGTTGTGTGCAGAGTGCAGAGGCGGTGTGTTCGGCGACAGGTGCAGTCAGTCGTGTCCGTCCTGTGGGGGGAGTTTCCTGTGTCACCATGTGTCGGGTCAGTGTGAGTGTCCAGCAGGACACACGGGGCCCGACTGTGACCAGGGTAAGAACACGAGCACCACGTCAGCAGAACACTTCATTTACACAGAAGAACACAGAAGAACAGAGAAGAACAGAGAAGAACAGAGAAGAAGAAGAACACAGAAGAACAGAGAAGAACACAGAAGAACAGAGAAGAACAGAGAAGAACACAGATGAACAGAGAACACAGAGAAGAACACAGAGAAGAACACAGAGAAGAACACAGAAGAACACAGAAGAAAGAACAGAGAAGAACAGAGAGAACAACAGAAGAACACAGAAGAACAGAGAAGAACAGAGAAGAACAGAGAAGAACAGAGAAGAACACAGAAGAACAGAGAAGAACACAGAGAAGAACAGAGAAGAACAGAAGAACAGAGAAGAACACAGAAGAACAGAGAAGAACAGAGAAGAACACAGAAGAACAGAGAAGAACAGAGAAGAACACAGAAGAACAGAGAAGAACAGAGAAGAACACAGAAGAACACAGAAGAACAGAGAAGAACACAGAAGAACAGAGAAGAACACAGAAGAACACAGAAGAACAGAGAAGAACACAGATGAACAGAGTCAGTAGAGCAGGTGCAGGTGCAGGACACAGGCGTTTGTGGACAGAGCAGGACACTGGACACTGGAGACTGGAGACTGGAGACGACAGAGGGACAGTGTGTGTCACCTGCAGAGTTCATGAAGTCAGTCAGATGAGGTGTTGGTCTTGTCCTGGTTTTGGTCTCGATCTTTACAACAACACGACCAAACAGCTTCACCTCAGTGTTTGTTTAAATCTGTCACTTTTGTCTGGAGCGTTTGGAGCTGCAGCTGAACAGGTTCCACCCTCATCATCAGAAGATCCACTAGTCAGAAAATCCTTCCCTCTTCTCTTGTTTGTCAGCAACATTTCTCTTGAACAGTTGAATGTTTATTTGATGAAAGCAACAGGGAATAATCCCTGGATCAGGGAAGAATTAATAAACTTTTGGATGTTTACCAATTAAAAATGGCTGCAACATCAACATTTTTAGAGACATTGACGGGAAAACACATAATCATGTATAACAGCATCAGCTAAGACCAGAATTACTTCATTTGTTGGTTTACAAACCCACCAATGCTTTATTAAAAGAAAAAGATTTAAAATAAAATTGAAATGAAGGTTGTAGAGCTCGAATTACTGAACATTTTGCAAGTTGTTGCCTGAAAATCAGACAATTATTCACCCTGTTTCACTTAAGACGACATTTCCACACAAATCATTATTTCCTCAAACATTTTTGCTGTATTTTAAGGGTTTAATATATTTATTACTTTTAATATTTATAATATTTTTTTTTTTCATTTGTAACAATTTGTAACACGACCTGAAGATGGATTTTCTGACTCGAGGCTCTTCTGATGATGAGGCTGAACCTGCTGAGGTTCGTGAATATGGAAGCAACTGAAATTAATTAACAAATAAAATATATTTAAATGAACAATGTATGTGTGACAATTTAATAAAAGGACCCAGAGTTCTGCAGCAAACTGTTTTGGTCGGATACTGTAAATGAACAAAATAAAACCTGATTCGCAGGGGATGAGTTCAGATTTGTTACTTGCAGCAGATTCACACGGGATCAGCAAAGTCCCTAAATGATTCTGTTTTACTGACACTGACACAAAGATCGAAAAAGAAAAGAACACGGAAAGAAAAGAAACAGATAGAAAAGGCGCAATTACAACAACAAACACTGAGATTTAGATTCATGCAGGAGTAGTTTTCTCACCAGACGTCTGTGTTTGGTCAAATATAGTCGGTCATTTGCACCAGGATTTTTATTTTTCAAATGACAGACACGGCACAAATCACCAAAGGTCCACAGGTTCAAATAATCCAGTGTGAACAGAGCTTCAGTGAGTTTAAAAGGAACAAAAGCTCATGTTGTCACGTCCATGTTCTGTGGAGGCTGTTTACGGAGACACTAAAGAGACGCAGAATGAACCCAAAAGTTTCATCCAACAACTGTAACATGTCCCTGATCCGTTGTGTCCGTGTGTTTTCAGTTTGTCCCTCTGGATTCTTCGGGCCCCAGTGCTCGCAGCCGTGTGGTCCCTGCACCAACTCGTCCTGTGACCCTCGGGACGGACGCTGCGTGTGTCCCGCGGGCTGGACCGGACCCGACTGCTCCAAACGTGAGGCCTCTTCCTCAGATTCAGGATTTGCGTGTCAGTCGTGTGGTTTCATGTTTTGGCGGCCGTACTTCAGGTCGACACTGGGATTATTCAGTTTATTTCAGTATCATCACGGCGACTTTAAACAGCACAAATGACATAAAACTGTTTGAAATCTCCAGCTCGTTAGATCAGCGTCATTAGAAAAATATAAAGCTAAAGTCGTCCTCCTGGGTTGTGGAATAGATCCTGATCTAATAGAAGCATTAAGAATCTCAGACGTCCGGTCATTGTGTAATTCATACTTGGAAGGATTTTCTGAAAAAGTGAACATCAAACCTCCATGTTTGTTTTCCCAGTGGGACGTGTCTATTGACAAAGTCGATCTTTTCAAGTCTTTTGAACCATATCACTTTTGTTTCTGGTTCTGATATTGTCATATTTTAGTTTTGGGACTCGGACGTCGTAATTGTTGTGGTTGTTGGATCCAAACAGCGGAAAACGACTCGAGAAATGTGTTTGTGAACTTCATAAATGTAAAAGTGAATCAGATGTGTGTGACTCAAACCTCTGTTCAAACTGTTTCTCTTCCCAACGGAATTGAAAAATAGTGAAAGGTGAAGGTGATGGGCAGGATTGATCCACAGGAAGAACCAAAAAGGAAACATTTGTCTGACTAAGAAATCATCCTGAGTTTACAGAGAACATTTTGTATGTGGAGCCACGACAAAACAAAATCCTGATCCTTCGTTCAACCTCGGTTTTGAATTTAAAAAGTCGACGCCAAAGTGAAAGTCTCCAACTGTTCACCAAGAAACACCTTCCACTGCAAAGACCAAGACGTGATGTTTCTGTAAAACCACAAGAACAAGAAAGTGCAGCTCAGTCTGTTTGTCTTCTGCTCCTCTACATTAACAAACCAGATTTTGTTTTGTCGTGGCTCCACATACAAAATGTTCTCTGTAAACTCGGGATGATTTCTTAGTCAGACAAATGTTTCCTTTTTGTTTCTTCCTGTGGATCAATCCTGCCCATCACCTTCACCTTTCACTATTTTTCAATTCCGTTGGGAAGAGAAACAGTTTGAACGGAGGTTTGAGTCACACACATCTGATTCACTTTTACATTTATGAAGTTCACAAACACATTTCTCGAGTCGTTTTCCGCTGTTTGGATCCAACAACCACAACAATTACGACGTCCGAGTCCCAAAACTAAAATATGACAATATCAGAACCAGAAACAAAAGTGATATGGTTCAAAAGATTTTAAAAGATCGACTTTGACAATAGACACGTCCCACTGGGAAAACAAACATGGAGGTTTGATGTTCACTTTTTCAGAAAATCCTTCCCAGTGTGAATTACACAATGATCAGAAGTCTGAGATTCTTGATGCTTCTATTCCGATGGATCTTTGTCAGACTAATCGACGCTCGCTCTGTGCCCGACCTTTAGTCTCCAGATATTTACAACGACTTTATTCATTCGACATCGTCCTGCACCAACCAAGAACTGAAAAGCCACACGGGGTTAGAGGATTATAAATATTTTGTAGCGGGACGTGTGAGATCTTTGTTGATCAGCAAACATCACATCTGTTCCTGAGAAGTAGAAGCAGAACGTCCGTTTTCCCCCAGACATTTGACGTTTTGTTGCGTCCTGTCCTGGGCGTCCGGGTTCTTTTTTTCTTTTTTTTTAATAAAATGGTGAAAATGTCCGGGTTTTCGTTACTGTTCACTGGGGCCGTTGAATCTCATAGCGTCTGTGTGGGATTCCTTGCCGGCGAAAGTGAGGACGGGGGGGGGGGGGGGGGGGGGGGGGGGTTACACCTGCCAGAAAAACACTTTTGGTATCTGTCATTTCATTTAGTGTAACTCCCTTCTTCGTTTGTGTGGAGCTGACGATTGTCCTCACTGAGCTCCATCTCTCTCTTTCTATTCTTTTTCTGTCGCTCTCCACCTCTGTCTTTATCAGCCGGGATCTGATAGAAACATACTTTGGTCTCCTTCTTTAGCAGACTGACTTAGCCAGAACATCCAACAGCAACACAGCTCAAAACCGTTGTTATTCAATTCAGATTTTATCGCAGACAAACACTACACGTTTGTCCAGATGGATAGATTGACTCCAGAATGACGGCAGAAACATTAATAGTCCCACACATGGTCCTTCACATGTTCTACTCACTGTCAGGTCGACCAGGACACAAATAAATGAGGTGTATTTTATATTTTATTCAACTTCAGCTTCGGTGTTTAGAGTTCGGAAGAATTTTCAAGGTTCACAAATTATTTAAAGTTCACATATTAAATCAAATCAACTTTTAGCCATGTTATTCTGTTGTCCACTGGTCAAAAACAAACCTGGACTTGTAATTTTGCTTCATGGACTCGTGTTGTTTTCCAAAATCCAAATTAATCTTTTCTGAGCCTCAAAAATGTTTGTATTTTCCCTGTTTTGTTGCGTCACAGATAAAACTGCACTTCTCAAACTGTGTTCAGAACAAACTCATGGCAGCGTTTACATTTCCTGAGGGATTCATTTGTTTATTTATCTACTGTTCCTTCCTGTTGCTGTCAGCAGGGGGCGCTCCGACGCTGCAGGAGAAACAGACGTGTCATTTAATAAAGTGTATTTTCCAAATGCAGACACAATTTTAAGTTAGAAAATGTGAAATAATCTGCACCAACAAACACTTTGACCACCACCGACCACGTACACATGAGGTTCATACACACACAAGGTGAGGGAAGTGTCTTGCTCAAGGACACGTCAGTCAGGTTTGTGTCATTTATCCAAATCCACTGAGACGCCGAGGCAGAGGAGGCAGAGGAGGCAGAGGAGGCAGAGGAGGCAGAGGAGGCAGAGGAGGCAGAGGAGGCAGAGGAGGCAGAGGAGGCTGGTGTTTCTGCTGCTGCGGTGACCCTCACGTGTGTTTGTTTGTGTGTTTTTCCACAGCGTGTGAACCCGGGCGCTTCGGTCTGTTCTGTGCTCAGAGCTGCTCGTGTGCGCCCCCTCTGGTGTGTGAGCGGGTGAGCGGGCAGTGTGTGTGCGGCGACGGAGAGTGTCAGCCGGGTAAAGCCTCCACTCACACCACACCCACACCTCAGGGACTGGTTAGAGAACTTTATCACAACGGTCAGAAGTGTCGCTCAATAAAAATGTGAAGTTTGTATTTGACAAAGGAAAATCCAAAGGAGGATGTGCAGCGTCTGCAGTCTGACGTCACAACTCAGGTTGGGTCAGATCCTCTCTGATTGGCTGGTGCGGTCTAAACTTCCAGGGCTCTTGCAAATCGTCTAGTGTTTTCTGATTCCTGACCTAGTCACTGGAGAGAAATTAAATTGAGCAGAGGCACTAGGTGGCACCAGACTGACTAGAATTCTCCAGACATTTAGTCTATGTTCAGTCTGCACCTGAAGTGACCCAAATCTGATTTTTTGTCTCTATGTTCCTCTGTCTGATCTTTTAATGTCAGTCTGAACCACACAGATCCGATTTTTTTCAAATGTGACCCAGGACACTTGGATCTGTGCTCCTGAAACTGATCCATATCTGATCTTTAACATGTGACTTGAGTTTGAACAGTCAGGTCACATTCATCCACCTACACGTCATCAACAAGACACAAACGTCACTATTCTGCACTGAAGTAGGAGAAAACTGTTCATGATCCATGTGACTGAAGTGAAGCACATCTCCACTCACCACAAAACACCACCACCAAAAACCTGGTCCTTCTCCTTCTCAATCTCCTCCTTAAAACAAGTCAGTTGTTCATGTTGTGGCTCCGGTACAAGAGGAACTTTAAAATCTCCAGGTGCTCGATGCTGCGTCCATGTTTGTTCAACTTGTGTAAACACAGAGACGCTCGCTGCGGTTGACGTCGTCGTGTCTCCAGTGTCACATGTGGGACACTTTTGGACCGTTTAATGTTCACACTGGAGTCACATACAAGTCACATTTAACTGGAAATGTGAACGACCTCGAAAAAACATCGTATTTTACAAAAAAAATCCGAACTGAGCGTTAAACCTGCAGACTGAACGTAGACTTAGACACACATTTTGTCACAGAAAACCATTAACAGGAAGTTCCACAAACCTAAAGCGCGGGACACTTCTGGCCGATGTGAAACAGTCTGTTTAAAAGAACAAAGGGTAATTTACACATTTAAATAATAATAAAATAATTAATAATAGTAAAATAATCCAGAATTTCGGCATCACTTGTGGTGTTTTTATTAGAAAACTTGTCTGTCGTCTCTGTTTGTGATCCAGTAAACATCAGGATAATATTTTCCAGACCCGACGTCGCAGGCGGGCAGCGTCATGGTGCCCCTGCCCCCCAGCGAGCGGGAGTCGTGGGGGGCCATCGTGGGCATCATGGTGCTGGTGCTGCTGGTGGTGCTGCTCCTGGCGCTGCTGCTGCTCTACCGCCACCGCCAGAAACAGAAGCACAACGCCGCGCCCACCGTGTCCTTCTCCGCCAGCCGCCCCGCCCGTTCCGAGTACGCCGTGCCAGGTAAGCCCCGCCTCCTCCACCCGTAAGCCCCGCCCGCTCCGAATACGCTGTGCCAGGTAAGCCCCGCCTCCTCCTCCTCTTTTAAGCCCCGCCTGCTCCGAGTATGCTGTGCCAGGTAAGCCCCACCTTCTCCTTTAAGCCCCGCCCGCTCTGAGTACACCTTGCCAGGTAAGCCCCGCCTCCTCCACCCATAAGCCCCGCCCGCTCCGACTACGCTGTGCCAGGTAAGCCCCACCTTCTCCTTTAAGCCCCGCCCGCTCTGAGTACGCCTTGCCAGGTAAGCCCCGCCTCCTCCACCGATAAGCCCCGCCCACTCAGAGTACGCCGTGCCAGGTAAGCCCCACCTTCTCCTTTAAGCCCCGCCTGCTCCGAGTATGCTGTGCCAGGTAAGCCCCGCCTCCTCCACCCATAAGCCCCGCCCGCTCCGAGTACGCCTTGCCAGGTAAGCCTCACCTTCTCCTTTAAGCCCCGCCCGCTCTGAGTACGCCTTGCCAGGTAAGCCCCGCCTCCTCCATCCGTAAACCCCGCCCGCTCCGAGTACGCTGTGCCAGGTAAGCCCCGCCTCCTCCTTTAAGCCCCGCCCGCTCCGAGTACACTGTGCCAGGTAAGCCCCTCCTCTTCCCATAAGCCCCACCCACTCAGAGTATGCCGTAACAGGTAAGCCCCGCCTCCTCCACCCGTAAGCCCCGCCCACTCCGAGTACAGTATGCCAGGTAAGCCCCGCCTCCTCCCATAAGCCCCGCCCACCTTAAAGGATCAGGTGTTTCTGGAGTCTGGACTTGTTCTTGTGAGATGTTCCTGGTGTCATTTCTCTGAAGCTCGTCCTCCGTTTGCAGACATCCCTCACAGTTACCACCAGTACTACTCCAACCCGAGCTACCACACCCTGAGAGAGAACAGGGCCACCCTGCCGCACCTGCCCAACAACCACGACAGGAGCATCAAGGTGAGTCTGACGCCGGAACAACACTGGAGTACAACTGAGGTCAACAAACAGCTGAGCCCAGGACACAACCACAGACTCTACAGACGGATTATTAGTTTATGAACACATGAAGTTGTTTGTCAGCGATGAAACAGTTTATGACCATGTGATCAAATAAGTTCTAAGAATAAGAATCATTCTCTAAGGACGTGGACTAAAGGCCTTTTTATATTTCTGTGTCAACTCAGTGCAAACTGCTGCTGTCGCCTTGTTGCTGTCGTTTTTGCTTTATGGATCTGCACCGAGGTCTATGCGCCGCGAAGTAATTCACCGCCACAACACTAGTAGTTGAAGATCGCGTTTGTGTTTACAAAATGAAGCAGGAAAGAAGAGTAACAGAAATGTCTGTAGAGTGGACATAGAGACGACCTTATTGTCTGCGTCGACTTGACATGTAGTTACAAAGTTTTGGTGCATGTCGGTCGACGCAGACGCTCTGTGGAGGGGTTCAAGGTGACACAGAGGGACTTAAGGGAGTGTGACGTCACCCACAGCGCTCAGCTTCAGTCAAATGAAGTGAAATGAATTTGGAGCTGAGTTCCATATTTAGAATAAAAATGTCTTTGTGTTTGTGTAGAACACCAACAACCTTCTGTTCGGGAGCCTGAAGAACACAGAGCGACAGAGACGGGGGCTGTACGGCCTCGACGGGAGCAACACCCTGTCAGCGGACTGGAAACCCCACCACCCCTGCACCCACTCAGGTCTGACCCCACAAACCCACAAACCCACAAACCTACAAATCCACAAACCCCACAAACCCACAAACCCCACAAACCCCACAAACCCACAAACCCCACCACCCACAAACCCACAAACCTACAAATCCACAAACCCCACCACCCACAAACCCCACCACCCACAAACCCACAAACAAACCACAAACCCTCAAACCCACAACCCACCACCCACAAACCCCAAACCCACAAAAACCCCAACCCACAAACCCTCAAACCCACAAACCTACAAACCCATAAACCCCACCACCCACAAATCCCAAACCCCAAACCCACAAACCCACAAACCCCAAACCCACAAACCCTACAAACCCACAAACCCCAAAAACCCCAAAAACCCACAAACCCACAAAATCCACCACCCACAAACCCCAAACCCACAAACCCCACAAACCCAAAAACCCACAAACCTACAAACCCACAAACCCCAAAAACCCACAAACCCCAAAAACCCACAAACCCCAAACCCACAAACCCCACAAACCCAAAAACCCACAAACCTACAAACCCACAAACCCCAAAAACCCACAAACCCCAAAAACCCACAAACCCACAAACCCCAAAAACCCACAAACCCACAAACCCCAAACCCACAAACCCCACAAACTCCACAAACCCACAAACCCACAAACCTACAAACCCACAAACCCACAAACCCACAACCCACACCCAAACCCAAAAACCCAAACCCACAAACCCACAAACCCACAAACCCCAAAAAACCCACAAACCCACAAACCACAAACCCCACAAACCCCACAAACCCCACAAAACCCCAAACCCACAAACCCACAAACCCCAAAACCCACAAACCCCACAAACCCCAACAAACCACAAACCCAAACCCACAAACCCCACAAACCCCACAAACCCACAAACCCACAAACCCACAAACCCACAAACCCACAAAACCCACAAACCCCAAAAACCCACAAACCCACAAACCCCACAAACCCCACAAACCCCACAAACCCACAAACCTACAAACCCACAAACCCCAACAAACCCACAAACCCCACAAACCCCAAAACCCACAAACCCCAAACCCACAAACCCCCACAAACCCACAAACCTACAAACCCACAAACCCACAAACCCACAAACCCACAAACCCAAAAACCCACAAACCCCCCACAAACCCTCAAACCAAACAAACCCACAAACCCACCAACCCACAAACCCCAAACCCACAAACCTACAAACCCACAAACCCCAAACCCCACAAACCCTACAAACCCAAAACCCACAAACCCCACAAACCCACAAACCCCACAAACCACAAACCCACAAACCCACAAACCCACAAACCCACAAACCCACAAACCCACAAAACCCCACAAACCCCACAAACCCCACAAACCTACAAACCCACAAACCCACAAACCCACAAACCCACAAACCCACAAACCCACAAACCCCAAACCCCCAAACCCACAAACCTACAAACCCCAAAATCCCACAAACCCCAAAAACCCACAAACCCACAAACCTACAAACCCACAAACCCACAAACCCAAAACCCACAAACCCACAAACCCACTCAGGTCTGACCTCTCGTGAACTTTAAACCATGTTCTAATGTTTCCTCCTCTAAAACAGAGCTGGACTTGTGTTTTGTTTCATTCACATGTTTGAGTGACTCTTTATTATTCGTTTGTCTACATCTCCAGAGCTTCAAACGCTCTGTTCCACCTTGTGATGTCATGAAACGGTCATTTCCAAGTCAACAGCTCCTTTTACCTTCAGTTCAGCAGAGATCGGCAATTCCAGAACTGAAATAATCCCGGTGATTCCAGTGAAGGTGTGTGGAGTTTAAAAACACCGTGGAGCTCTTGCTGTATCACCACATGATGACATCACAAGGTGGAATACTTAGATTTAGACTTTGACAAACTTTATTGATCCACAAGGGAAATTATTTGGACACAGGAGCACATTGTTGAACATGTTGTAGGGAGTATTACATGTTCTATAAGGGTGAGTTGATGTAGTTGTAGGGAGTATTATCTTTCTATTATCTTATCTCTGTTTGTGACGAGGAACCAACATTAGAACAGATCAGAAAACTGTGTAAAATCGTCTGTTTAATTATATTTTTCTCAGTGACTGTTTGTTCTGAAGAGTTCACCGTGTTTGTCCGCAGGGGCGTACGGAATCGACCGCAGCTACAGTTACAGCGCAGGAGCCGGAAAATATTATCATAAAGGTATTTTCTGTTGTACTTTGCCCGAATAAGAGTTTTTATTTTTATGTGATTGACTTTAAAGTGGAACTAAACTCTTAAACTCCACAACCACATTTGAAACAGAGCGGCTGAACTGGGTCTGGGGCAGAAGGAGCAGGGTGACTCACACTTCAGAAACACTTGGGCCGCATCTCATTTCTTTTTCCTCGCTTCCTTCTCCTCGCTTCCTTCTCCTTGATCCTCCGTTTTCCAGCTGTCAATCAAATGTGTCATATTAAGTGTCGTCCCAAAAAAAAAAAAACTCAGAGTGAAGGAGTGAACCTGAGGGAGACTTCAGGAGCAAACACCAGAGAAAAGAATCTAACTTTATTCGTCTCAGTGGGGAGTTTAGATCCTCTCTGCTTCTGGTGTCTCCTCTGTGGGCGGGACTTCGAGGAGAGGAACCAAGTAGCGTTTTCAGGCCGACAGAAAACCGAGCTGGTGCCAGTTCCTGCACCGTATCTCGAACCGACTGACGTGTTCAGGATGAAAATTAGAGCATTTAGGAACCGAAAAGTTGGTTCCTGACGGGAACCAAGTAAAAGTTGTTTTTTCTAAGAAAACCGTGACGACACAGTGGACTTGTGTGTGTGGAACCTGGAGGAGAAACAAGAGACAGAAGATTGAGCCGTGGTCAGACGAGGAAAACGAATATTTGCTGTGTCCGTGTTCGACCAGTGAGGTTCCATACTTGGATTGGACGTTGCTGCTGCTTCTCCACAGCAGATGTTCGTCCACACAAATGTTTCTCCTTTGCAGATGTTTCTCCAAAGGCAGATGTTGTAGCAGAGCTCGGTGCAGATCAATAATAATGGTGCGATCCATGATTGTTATTTTCTTGCTGTGACGTTCGCTTTCGTGTCGTCTTGTTTTTATTCGGTGGTAAATCCACACTCTGTCTGTCGATGATGCATCAGGGGTTCACTTAAACGATTTGAACGTGAGCACTTTGGTTCCCAGAGTAACTGCTGCAGGAACCGACTCCAGCACCGTTCTGACGCCTGAAAACAGCGAAGGAGAAGAAAGCGAGGAAAGAGAAATGAGACGCTGCCCTGGCTTTAATCAGGACAGTCACATTTACCTGCTGACACAGAAATGACCAAAAGGCAGCAGGAACAGTAGTTGATAATTCTAATAAAACACCATGTGCAGAGTTCAGTAACAAAAAAGTAGATTTATTGTTTAGTTCCTCTTTAAATAGTTTGAGACAGAAACATGACACCAAGTGTTCCTGTTGGTCCTGTTGTTCTCCAGAGCTGAAGGAGAGTCTGGCCGTGAGCAGTAGTTCTGTGAACAGCGAGAACCCGTACGCCACCATCAAGGACCTGCCGGGGCTGCCCTTCTGCGGGACCCTGGACCCCCCCTGCGGGCCCCCCGAGAGCAGCTACATGGAGATGAAGTCCGCCGTGCCCCGGAACCGCTCGTACACGGAGCTGAGCCGGCCGCCGCCCACCACCCCGCCCCCCCGAGGTAAGGTCCGGTGCTCACACAGCACTGCCCGTTCCTTTCCCCGTCCCTGTGTCTGATCCCGACTCTGTCCCGTCCCCAGAGCCCGGATACTTCTCACAGGACGACCCCCTGAGCCACTACGACCTCCCCGTCAACAGCCACATCCCCGGACACTACGACCTGCCCCCTCTGCGCCGGCCGCCCTCCCCCAGGAGACCCCCGTACTGACCCCACAAAAGACTCTTACTGACCCCTAAAGATCCCAATACTGACCTCAAAAGATCCTCATATTGACCCTAGAAAAGACTCCAAACAAGACTTCCATTGGCACTTTGCAGCTGATGTCATCAACAGTCCCCGTGAGGGTGAAGTTAACTAGAGGCTCTTCTCTGTCTGAAGCTCTGATACTCAAGTTAGACTTTAATCTGAGCTTTGTTTTTACACAGTCTGAGCAAACAGAAGCTGATCTGTGCTGTTAAACTCGTCCCTGTCGGTGTGGTTCCTCGGTCGTCCAGGTGGGATCCAGATGAGGGTGACCAGATTTCCAGAGTCAAAAACCCGGACACTCTCGGTTTGGAGCAGTTGGTGATAATAAATTTGTGAAAACAGTGCAGAATTAAGGAAAATTGTTCCTCGCTCGGCCCGTGTCAGTCAGTATAGTCACATTTACAAGGTTCTCGCTCTTTTTCACTGACAAAATTTCAATTGGCTCATGACTTTTTCATGAGCTAAAGTGAATTTTCCATAACTTTCCAGCACCTACATGTGTGGAACTGATCAGACTTTTAGGGCTAAATCTGAAACATGAACTCTTTCCTCTCACCTTATGGTTTGGGATTATAGTTTTTGAACATTTTAAATCCTGTCAGTGGATTTATTGTCGTCTCTTTTATTAAACAAAAGGTTCCGATGTTTGGAAATAATCAGAACAGACTCATGAGCTGTGTGAAAGAGAGACTCAAATTCCATGACTTTTACAAAAATTTCATGGAATTTAAAAAAACTCCAACTTTTCCATTGCCTGGAAAATGGCATTTTCAATTTCAACGACTTTTCCAGGATTTCCATGACTACGGAAACCCTGCATTTTCTTTGTGTTTTGGTCATTTTTAAGCCGCTTTCCAGTATTTTAACTAAACAAATGTCAGTTTCTGTTTCTCTTTACTGCTGCAGGATCAGATTGGTCAAAAATAGAAACACCTGGGACATTTTTTGTATAAAACTGAAACAAATTTGTGGTTTTGTATAAATCTGTGGGACGGGGGACACAAACTGGGACTGTCCCGGGGAAAGAGGAACGTCTGGTCACCCTGATCCAAAGCAAAAAAAAAAAACAATTCTATAAACTCCACCAGCGTTTTTTAAGCTCGTCCAAAGAATTCAACTTAATCACTCGGATCTTTTAGCTGAAAATCAAACTCGATGAACTTGACCACGAACGCTCGGCCTGATCACAAACTCCTCTGAAAACTCACGTCAGGCGTGTTTGTTTGTTGTTGTGCGCTTTGTGTCACCACGGTTACTGCTGAACATTCCTCCACAGACATACATGCCCCCCCCCCCTCCCTGACCCCAGGAGGCCTCCGTACTTCTCCAGATGGACGGGTCTTTGTTCTCCTCTGTTCTCGTCCGACTCACAGAAGAAGAAGCAGCTCCACACCTGGACGGAGACGTGTGGAATGTGTGGAGCGTCCGTCAGACGGTTCCTCCGTGACGTCTGCACTCGCCGGGTCAAAATCTGTGGGTCGTTCGTTCATTTGTTTTTCAAAATAAAACTGAAAAGAAGAAAAGGAAAAAAGCAACGATTTTCTTCTTCGTTCTGCAAAACCAAAATGAAAAAAAAAAAAAAAAAAAAAACAGGGAAAGATTCGTTTTTGATTTTGTGTTTAAATGAAAAATAGAAAAAGTGAAAAACGAACTGAACCAGGACTGAACCAGGACTAAAACAGGACTAAAACAGGTCTAAAACAGGTCTAAACCAGAACTAAACCAGGACTGAACCAGGACTAAACCAGGACTGAACCAGGACTAAACCAGGACTAAAACAGGACTAAACCAGGACTGAACCAGGACTAAAACAGGACTAAAACAGGACTAAACCAGAATTAAACCAGGACTAATCCAGGACTAAACCGGTCTTGGTCCTGATCACCCGACAGTCTATGAGGGTGGACCTTCAGGCTCGTCCCGACACTCAGTCCTGGTTTAGTCCTGGGTTACTGAGACCAGGACCAGACCAGGACTGAGACTGGGAGTAGACCAGGACCAGGACTAGACTGGGACCAGGACCAGAACTGAGACCAGGACCCAGACCGGAACAAGATCAGGACTGTGACCAGGACTAGACTGGGACCGGACCTGGACCAGACCAGGACTGAGATTTAGTCTTGGTTTCGTCCTGGTTTAAACCTGGTTCAGTCCTGGTTCAGACCTGGTTTAGACCTGGTTCAGTCCTGGTTCAGACCTGGTTTAGACCTGGTTTAGTCCTGGTTTAGTCTTGGTTTAGACCTGGTTTAGTCCTGGTTTAGTCCTGGTTTAGTCCGTTCTCCATTTTTTTCCATTTTTCATTTAAACACAAAATCGAAAACTGAAATCTGTTTTTTTCATTTTGGTTTTGAAGACAAATAATGAAGAAAATTGTTTTTTTTTTTTTTTTGGTTTTATTTTGAAAAACAAATGAACGACTCACAGATTGTTGAAGGTCAGAGGCTGCAGATTTCTGTAGGACAAACCAGCGAGGAGGAAGATCTTGTCTCCTGTTTCTCCAGCTTCAGACGATTCATCCAAAGGTTCAACGAAATCACACGTTTACCAAATTGTAAATAAAACTGAAATATATATTTTAAAATGTAAAAATAGCACTTAAAATCATGTTACACACACCGAGTATTTGTGTGATAAAAGAGGAAAACCGAACCCTCCAAAAAAGTACGAAATCTGCCCAAAACTCCAGAAGTCTGAGGTTTGGTTTTGTCGTTTCTTGAGTCTTTGTTTTATTAAAGGAGACGTGTTCTGCAGAATCAGACGTTTGTAGATCTGAACCGTGTCACAGTCGTTTCCTCGTCACTGAACTGAACGATTCGTGCAGGTTTGATTCATCTTTATTCTCCTGTTTTCAAAATGTCACCGTGTCTCCCCCCGTTTTCACCTCCACCTCTGTGACGTACGCACTTCCTCTTCCTGTTTTTCTTTTAAAAAAATCTGTGATACTCGTTGGATTCTGCAGCACCGCGTCGTCATTTTCACACACAAAGAGTTTTCCGCAGACTTAATCCAGCAGAGGGCGCTTTGTTCTCATGACTTTAGACTCTCAGTGCACTTGTTTCTTTTATGAATCTGTTTTCGATGAAGATTTCGATTTAAAATGTCCAAATTTTAACAGAACACAACACGTCTTCTTTAATAAAACAAAGTACATTGTCCAGAAATATAACACTTATAATTATGTACTTTACCTTTGTAGAATTTAAACTGGTGACCCTCTGGTTTTTGGGTCCAGTCTTTACCCGACTGTACGACTGCTGCCCCCTGCTGGTTTTATTTGCTGGATTTTTGGACAGATTTTATTTTATATTTGTCCAAATTCAATTTAGTTTGGTTTTCTCATCTCTGGTTAAAATACATTTATACTGAAAAGTAAAAAGTAAAACAATAGTCCTGAAAAATATTTGTAAAATATAAACAAAACAAACAAACACAAATATATATAGTGAACCCTGTCTTTAAGTACTGAGTAAATATTTGGAGGAATTTAGGATTTGGCATTTCTGCAATTTGAAAAACAGAATTTAAAACAAACAAAAATTGGGTATTTCCAGAGAACAGATCCTACAGAAGCCTTGAAAAAAAAAGAAAAGAGGCACACCATTTAGGCTCAATTTTCTAAGATTTTTGCTCAAAAAAAATTTAAATAATAAAAAAGTACAACACGTCTTCTTTAATAAAATGAAGTGCCTTGTCCAACGTCCAGAGGTTTAACAGTTGAACCTTTGTAGAACCTAAAACTGTTCCAGTCTTTACCCGACTGTACTACTGCTGCCCCCTGCTGGTTTTATTTTATATCTGTCCAAATTCAATTTAGTTTGATTTTCTCATCTCTGGTTAAAATAACATGTATATTAAAAATTAAAACGCAAAACAATCATCCCCAAAAATAATTGTCAAAGTAAATATTTGGAGGCATTTAGGATTTGGCATTTTTGCAATTTGAAAAACAGAATTTAAAACAAACAAAATTTTGGTATTTCCAGAGAACAGACAGTACGGAAGCCCTGAACGGCAAGCAGGGGAAAAAAAAATAAAAGGCACGTCATTTGGGTTCAATTTTCTAAGATTTTTGTTTAAAAAAAAAAAAAAAAAAAAGAGCAGAACACATCTTCTTTAATAAAATGAAGAGCCTTTGGTTCTATCAGTTCTTTGTACTTTTGTAGAATTTAAACTGTTGACCTTCTGGTTTCTGGGTCAGTCTTTACCCGACTGTACTACTGCTGCCCCCTGCTGGTTTTATTTGCTGGATTCTTCTGTATTCAAAGAAAAGTTTTATTTTGTATTTCCTCATATTCAAATTAGTTTTTGGTTTTCTCATCTCTGGTTAAAATACAATATATAAAAAAAAAAATAATTGTAAAAAAGAAGAAGAAAAAAAAGGACATCTCAAAATTATTATGGTGGACCCTGTCCTTAAAGTACAGAGTAAATATTTAGAGAGATTTTAAATCACTGCAATTTGAAAAATTTAATTTAAAACAAACAAAAATGTTGGTATTTCCAGAGAACAGACAGTACGGAAGCCCTGAACGGCAAAAAAGTAAATACATAAATAAAAAAGCCTAAATGATGCGCACCTTTACTTTCTTAGATTTTTGTTTAAAAAAAAAAAAAAAGAAAAATACAAGAAAATGTTTTATGGTTTGTCTTTGTTTTTGAAAGTTGTTAGTGCAAAAAAAAAAAAAAAGGAAAAACCATAAAACATTTTTTTTTTTTTAACTTTTATTAAAATCTTAGAAAATAAAGACATTTTTTATTTTTTTATTTTTTTCTTTCACCAATACATCCAAAAAAAAAAAAAAAAATCTTGTTTTTTTTCAGGGCTTCTGTACAAACCACACAAATTTGAAGAAAATGTATATTTGTAAAGTGTCCAAAAAAGTGCTATAAGTCTGATGTATTTTTTTTTTTATAACTGTTTTTGTTATAAAAGTGGGAGGAAAATTGAAAAGTCAAAGTAGAATTTGAAACATTATGTAATATAAAAACCACTGACAGGAGACCGATGTAAAGCTCGATACTGCCGCCTCTGGATGTGACGTGTAACTGTTTTTATCACATTCCAGATTTTTACATTTTTGTACGAAGCTGTAAAAACTATGACGTGTAAATATGTAAATAAAGTTTCCATTTTGTGTTGAAATAAGCACAAACACAACACGAGTCGAGGTCTTTTACTGTATCAAAGTAAAGCACAAAGAAAACCGGGATTTTTTATTTTTTTTTTTCCGTACATTTCTAATATTTTCATTGCAAATCTTTACAGCACTTTCCGTTCTGCAGCATCAGAGGGTCGGTTTTTGGCACACGGAATCTTTGGTTTTACAGAATTCTGACGTTCGATACAAATTAAATGCAAAAAAAAAAAAAAAAAAAAGAAGAAATCATAATAAAAAACAAACACAAGGGGGCAGTGTGACAGAGTTACAACGACATCGATTCAAGGCACTTTCAGAAGGAAACGCTTAAAGCTGCCCTCACTGCAAAAACTAACATTTAAATTTGATTAAAAAATGACTGAAATCACTCAGTTCTACTTGTTTTTGAGCTTTAAGATTTTACCAAATGTTTTTTTTAGGCTATGTAGACATTTTTTTGTGTTAATTTTTATTTTCTAATGTGGTAGTTTGAAAAATCCACCTAAAATCAGATCACTGTGGTTTAAAGATGCATTTTGGAACTTTTCTGGTGGAGGTCGGTCTCCATGGGGATGTTATAGCTCAGCCTGGAATGTTCCACAGTGACATTAAATTTATACATCCTTGGAGACAAGTAAGTGACGCCACAGTGCTGCGTTACGAGTCAGATCTGTGATTTTTATGTGTTAGATCTGTGACTTTCTACACGTCTGATTTGTGACTTTTTATCAGATCTGCGACTTTTCTGAGTCATATCTGTGACATTTACAGGTCAGATGTGTGATTTTTAAGGACCAGATCCGTTACATTTATGGGTCAGATCTGTGACTTTTTAACGGGACAGATTTGATTCATAAAAGTCCCACAGATCTTACACGTAAAGGCCACAGATCGGGTGCAACTTTTACGAGCCAGATCCGTGACATTTAAGGGTCAGACCTGTGACTTTTTATGGGTCAAATCTATGACTATAACTATATGAATATCTGTGACTATAATGGGTCAGGATCTGCAACTTTTACGGGTTTGATTTGCGACTTTTATGGGTCAGATCTGTGATTTTTTTACAAATCAGATCCGTGACATTTACGGGTCAAACCTGCGACTTTTTATGCATCTGATTTGCAACTTTTACGAGTCAGATCTGTGACTAACGGGTCAGACCGGTCACTTTTATGGGTCAAACCTGTAACATTTACGGGTCAAATCCGTGACATTTACTGATCAGATCTGTGACTTTTATGGATTAGATCTGTGACTTTAAGTTTTGTGTTTTTATTTGTTTTTACTTTTCTTTCATTTGTTTCATTTGTTTTTCTCAAAATTACAAAAACAAATGGCTTTAAAAAAAAAAAAAAAAAAAGATCTGTGAAGAGGCGATTCCGCTCACGTTAAAAGTCGTAAATTAAACAAAACTGACTCTTGTGAGGTTTAAGTCATGTTCTAATGTTGTTACTTGATCAAAAACAGACCTGGAGTTTTGTTTTGTTTTATTATTAGTGTGTCTCTAAACCTCTAAAACTCCAAACGCTCTGTTCCACCTTGTGATGTCACGAAGAGGTAGTTTCCAGCTCCTTTTATCTTAAGTTCAATGGAGATCAGCAAATCCAGAGCTGAAATCCTCCAAATGATTCAACAGTGAAGGTGTGTAGAGTCTAAAAACACAATGGAGCACCTCTTCCTGTATTATCACATGATGACATCACAGGGTGGAACAGAGCGTTTTCAGTTTGAGAGAAGAACTGTGCGTTAAACGTGTGTGAAAGAAACAAAAACAACTCCAGGTCTGTTTGTGACGAGGAAACGGAAAATGGCACAAATACGGAGCCTGTAAAGTCATTTTCGATGCTGGATTCCCAGAAAAGTTCCGTAATGTGTCTTTAAATTAAACCTACTGAGTAAAATAACCCAGTTCTAATCTAATTTCCAGTCATTTTTTGTTCATTTACACGTTAATCTTTGCAGCGTTTAAAGGTAATTAAAATACTAAGCTGAAAATTGCATAGCTTCATACAGTACGACAATTCAAGTAAAATAAAGACAAAAAAATAAAAATTAACCCACGAGCGGCGAAGCGCGACTACAGCACAGAGAACTAAAAGAGAAAAGGTCTGTCCTACGCAGAAAACAAAAAAACCCCAAAACCCCAAAAACCCCTAAAGCCCCAGAGCCCCAAAAAGCCTCAAAAAGCCTCAAAAAGCCTCAAAAAGCTGGTGATTACAAAACATCTGATCCAAAAACAAAGATGAAAAACACAGACGAGTCCAGAGGAGAGTCCAGAGGAAGTCCAGAGGAAGTCCAGAGGAGAGTCCAGAGGAGAGTCCAGAGGAGGGTCCAGAGGAGGGTCCAGAGGAGAGTCCAGAGGAGAGTCCAGAGGAGAGTCCAGAGGAGGGTCCAGAGGAAAAGTCCAGGAGGTCCAGAGGAGGGTCCAGAGGAGACAGTCCAGAGGAGGGTCCAGAGGGGAGAGAGTCCAGAGGAGAGTCCAGAGGAGAGTCCAGAGGAGACACCAGAGTCCAGAGGAGGGTCCAGAGGAGAGTCCAGAGGAGAGTCCAGAGGAGAGTCCAGAGGAGGGTCCAGAGGAGAGTCCAGAGTCCAGAGGAGAGTCCAGAGGAGAGTCCAGGAGGTCCAGAGGAGGGTCCAGAGGAGACCAGAGAGGGTCCAGAGGAGGGTCCAGAGGAGAGTCCAGAGGAGACACCAGAGGAGGGTCCAGAGGAGGGTCCAGAGGAGAGTCCAGAGGAGAGTCCAGAGAGACCAGAGGAGGTCCAGAGGAGACCAGAGGAGAGTCCAGAGGAGGAGGAGGGTCCAGAGGAGGGTCCAGAGGAGTCCAGAGGAGAGTCCAGAGAGAGAGTCCAGAGGAGGTCCAGAGGAGAGTCCAGAGGAGAGTCCAGAGGAGGGTCCAGAGGAGAGTCCAGAGGAGACACCAGAGGAGGGTCCAGAGGAGGGTCCAGAGGAGAGTCCAGAGGAGAGTCCAGAGGAGAGTCCAGAGGAGAGTCCAGAGGAGGGTCCAGAGGAGAGTCCAGAGGAGAGTCCAGAGGAGAGTCCAGAGGAGGGTCCAGAGGAGGGTCCAGAGGAGAGTCCAGAGAGAGAGTCCAGAGGAGAGTCCAGAGGAGAGTCCAGAGGAGGGTCCAGAGGAGAGTCCAGAGGAGAGTCCAGAGGAGAGTCCAGAGGAGAGTCCTACATGATGGAGCAGCTCTCAGGCTTCACACGGCCCTGAGGAGGAGAAGAACACAGAGACACAGAGTGAGACTGTGGTTGAGAAGTACATTTGTAGACTCATATTTCTGTCTTAAGTGTTTGTCATAAAAATCTAAACCCTGGAGTCGGCTGCAGGTTTGTTTCTCTGTGGTTCTTCTGCTCTCGTTCACTAGTTTTAATGCACCTTCTCTGTTCAGGTTCCTACAGTTCTACATGTTGGAATCATCTGGAGTTTGGAGCCTCGTCTCGTCTAATCACATGAACCCAGTGTGCGCAGAGTCGTGTGTCAGAGGGGAAATGATGAAAACTGAGGTTTGGTTGTACTTGTTGATGAGCTGAACATAACAGAACAATAAAACAACATGAAGAAAACTGGGCCTGGGAAGATGTAATTGCATCTTTCCAAATGTCCTCCTGGTTTGTGACGTAAAAGCCTGAAGAGAAACTATTGGAGTCAGGGTCAGAAGGAGCAGGAAGAGGCTCCTGGAGCACTTCCTGTTCCTGTCCGTTCATACATACGGTCTTGGTCTACGCCTGTGACATGTTTGAGCCGTCAGACGCCAGAATAAAAAATCTGAACTTTTGCGGTTTGATGCTGCGTCTCAACCAGCGACGATGCTCCAGTGTTTGTTATTCACACACCAGAGGAGGACAACACGACAAACTGGACCTGAGACAGACCAAAGTTCAGCTGAAGCTGTGGTGATCGGACGGAGCTGAGATGAAACTCACCAAACTGAACATGTCTGAGTGACGTCATGAACCTGGACACGGCGCTGCTGAGCGATCACCTCATGAGTTTATGTAAAATACTCTAACCGTTTCTCCTGCTCTGCCGTCGCTCACAGACGAGAAACAAAACATCCAAAGAAACTCACGACCGCCACAGACATTCTGGACACCACAGACGCTGAGGTGGTCCCAAAAATGTTTTTTTTAAAAGATTCTCTAGATTAGAATCCTGCATTTGGTTCCATATCTGACTCCAAAATATGTGGGTCCAGATTTTATGCAAATTAATTAATATTTAGTGGCTACTCAAGACACTTGAAAATGTCCCTATGGCCTAAACTAGAACAAAGAACAAAATAAATAAGGTGAGGACCCCCTCGAAAACGAGATGTCGAGACGTCTCAAGAGGCTTATCCTCCAAACAAATACATTCTAATTCAAATAAGGCGTGTTTGAATAATTTGTCATTTTATTCTGCAAACACAAACAAACTTGTATAAAAAAAAAAACTACGTAGAAAGTCCAAAAAGTCCATAAAAAGTTCCTCTGAAACATTTCCTTTTTCTTCCTAGTTTCTTCCTAAATCATCTTTTGGTGCTAAAAAATCTTTGCAGGTTCTAATCGAGCTCATCTGAAACTTTATTTTTACCCTGATGTGATGAACCAGCAAATCTGACCTCAAACATAAAGACTCCAACTCGAGACGTCCAACGAGACACGAGGTCTGAACGCAGATTTAGTCCTGGTCTGGTCTCGTGCCCTCACCACAGTCCTGCCTCCGGTCTGGGGGTCTGGGTCTGGGTCTGGTTTGTGTCTCTGTTTGTGTTTGTTTGTGGTTCTGGTTGTGTTTTTGTGTTGTTGTTGTTGTTGTTCTGTTTGTGTTTTTACCTGCTCGTGTCCCATGAGGAAGGAGTGTCCGCCGAGTCCCTCCGGGAGGCCGCCGCCGCCACAGGCTCCGCCCCTTTCTGACGGCTGCCCGCAGGCGTCGCAGATCACCGTACGACTGCGCAGGTTATACTCACTGTGACCGGTCTGTGCATGGACACAAAAACACACACACGACACACACAACACGCACAACACAAATACACACACACACACACAGACAGACAGACACACACACACACACACAACACACACAACACAAATACACACACACACACAGACAGACACACACACACACAGACACACCATTATTACACATTTATTTACATATTTTTACATTTTATTTGCATGTGTGAACTCCTGGTTTGAACACGTGACGTAAACGAGTGTGTGTGTGTGTGTGTGTGTGTGTGTGTGTGTGTCGTGTGTGTGTGTGTGTTTGTGTCTGTGTGTGTGTGTGTGTGTGTGTGTGTGTGTGTGTGTGTGTCTGTGTGTGTGTGTGTGTGTGTGTGTGTGTGTGTGTGTGTGTGTTTGTGTGTGTGTGTGTGTGTGTGTTTGTATTTGTGTTACCGAATCTTCGTCGTCGTCCATCACGACTATGTTCACTTTCCTCGAGGCCAAGTCCTGTAAACAACATCCACGAGTTAGAACTGAACCAGGACTAAACCAGGACTAAACCAAAACCAAAACCAAAAAGACCAGGACTAGACCAGGACTAGACAGGACTAGACCAGGACTAGACCAGGACTAGACCAGGACTAGACCAGGACTAAAACGAGTCTAAACAGAGTCTAAACCAGGACTAAATCAGAACTAAAAACCAGGAATGAACCAGAACTAAGCCAGGACTAAACTAGAACTAAACCATAACTAAAAGCCAGAACTAAACCAGGTCTAAACCAGGACTAAATCAGGACTAAACCAGTTCTAAAACGAGTCTAAACAGAGAATAAAAACCGGGACTAAACCAAAACAAAAAACCAGGACTAAACTGGTACTAAACCAGAACTAAACCAGGTCTAAAACAAGTCTAAACAGAGTCTAAACAGAGTCTAAACTGGGACTAAACCAAAACTAAAAACCAGGTCTAAACCAGGTCTAAAAACCCAGTCTAGGTCTCAGTCAGTCTCGGGACAGACCTCTCCGTTGTTGTTGATCAGGGTGGTCATCAGCAGGTCTCCGGTGCTCCACGAGTCCTGACTCTTCCACACCAGGTCTGTGGGGGGGCTGTGGGTCCCGCCGCCTGACGCCGCCCACACCTGACAGGGACAGGGACAGGAGCAGAGAGACAGGGACAGTGAGCACAGGCAGGTGAATCGGACAAAGAACAAAGGACTAAATAAAATAATAAAACACCACATGGCAAATTATTTTAACAAATGAAAGAGCTTCAGAAAATCCACTTTGTGTGAAGGTTCAAAAGTAAAAATATTAGAATATTAATACAAAAGGTAAAGTACCACAGAGTGTGTAAAGAGGAGGACTGAGGGAGTGTCACGTCACCCACAGAGTCCAGCTCCAGTCAAATGAAGCTCATGAGGTCAGCGGTTACAGGAGGGAAATTGGAGCCGAGTTACATCAGGAACAGGAATTTATTTATGGACAAAATAGTGAAAAAAAAAAAAACTCCAGGGACGTTTTTTTCAGTATAAAGTGAAATGGACTCTGCGGGGACTCTGCGGGGACTCTGCGGGGACTCTGCGGGGACTCTGCGGGGACTCTGCGGGGACTCTGCGGGGACTCTGCGGGGACTCTGCGGGGACTGGGACTCTGTGGGGACAGGAGGGACCGTAGGAGGGACAGTAGGACTAGGACGGGGACTGCGGGGACTCAGAGGGACAGTAGGACTCTGCGGGGACTCAGAGGGACAGTAGGACTCTGCGGGGACTCAGAGGGACAGTAGGACTCTGCGGGGACTCAGAGGGACAGTAGGACTCTGCGGGGACTCAGAGGGACAGTAGGACTTCTGTAGGACTTCAGTGGGACTTCAGTGGGACCGTACCGTGACAGTGGCTCCGGCCTTCAGGGTGAACTTGTGAGGAAACTTGTAGGCGAGCACAGCGCCCCCTCCTGCCTGATTCTTGAGCTGCCAGCCGCCCATCGACTGATCCTGAACACAACCGCAAGAAAAACATCCAAGAGTTTAATAACAGCCGCTGCGTAAAAGTGTCAAAATACTAAACTAAAGACTAAACGATCCAGACTTTTCCACAGCCTCAGCTCGTTTCTCTTCACGAGTTTTGTGGAGTTTTGTTTAAGTCTCTGTCGTCAACTGAACAGAAATGACCTCATATCATTTCCACAAAAATAATCTGCATTTGTATTTATTTATTTATTTATTAAAGGGACAGAGCAGATTAAAAGACAAGATAATTTAAGACAAACATGAACTTGTAAATTTGCAGGACTGGAGCCAAAGACGAGTTTCATCCTTAGTCCCTGTTGGACCAAGATCAGCCACAATTATGAACCAAATTATTATTAATAATGAATAATTTTAGAAATAAACTCGCACAAATGAAACAGTCACAGGACAAAACAGCAAAAACCAAACTGTCAATTGTTTGTGCTTCGTTTGTGCTGCTTCAGTTTTGGAGATATTAAACCCACAGGAAGATTCAAAATGCTCTAAAATGCGCAAAATGGATCAATCATTTGTGCTTCAATTGTGCTACGAAAAGTTTTGTTCAGGCCCGATTACGTTACGTAATTTCCGTCCAAAAACGGTGCCCAACAGAGCTCATAGACAGAATTCTCTTCTTCTTCCCTCCGACATGTTGCTGGTTCATCAGATGCTTTGTTAAAAAACGATTTAATCTTTGTTCACTTGAAAGAAAATCAAAAATAGACACATTATCGGGTGTTGAAGGTAAACGGATTAAAAAGGAAAGTAAAGAAGGAAACAGCAGGAGCGAGTAAGGATGGTGTCTCTACTCTTCAGGAGCAGGAACCAGAGTTTAATCGTTTAATATTTTAAGAATCAGAATCGCGCAAACTGAACTTTGTGCAGCACAAATGAAGCTCAAATGTTTGACTCCATTCGTTGTTGTTTTAGAGCATTTTGAAGTTTCCTGGAGCTGCTGAACCCAATTTGATTTATAAAAGAATCATTAATGTCTCCAAAACTAAAACAGCACAAACAATAGATGTAGTTTTTGTTTCGTTTTGTGTTTGACGGGCGTCTTCTCGCTGGTCCTGGTGTTTTCTTCGGTGGACTCGTACCTCGTCAGACTTGTTGCTGAGGCGGATGAACTTTCCCTCCAGATCCACCTCGTCCACGGTGACCCGGCCGCTGGCAGAGGCGCCCTGGCTCACCCGGGTTTTGGTGACCGTGCTGGCGCTCTCTGAGTCCAGGTCCACGCGCTTCCTCTTGGCGCTGGCGCCGGAGGAGGTCCTGCTGCTGGACGCCACCTGGGTGGTGGACGTGGCCTGGGCGGAGGCGGCGTGGGTCCCGGAGGAGTTGCGGCTGCTGCTGCCGTCGGTGGCGTGGGTGCCGGAGGAGTTGCGGCTGCTGGACACCGCCTTGGCGCTGGAGGAGCTCTGGGCGTAGAGAACCCGGCTGTGCCCAGAGCCGGACGTCCTGCTCACGGTCACTTTGGCAGAGGACGGACTCGGGGACAGGCTCAGGCTGCAGACACAGGACAACAAGATGTGAACTTAACTATAATATTTATTAGAATATTGTTGGAGAACAAAGGATATAAAATAAATAAAGTGACGATCTCCCTGTGGTGGTGCAGGACCAGGCAGAAGTTTGGATTCTCAATGTTTTTTGTTTTTTGAAGATAAAATAATCCTTTGTCTCCCATGGGACAAATTTGTCTTGGGACAGGAGGTCACAGATTTAACACAAAGACAGAACAACACAACAACAAAAGCACCACACAAACATCACACAAACATCCACCACAGAACAGAAATAAAAGACCAAGTCTGACCACGAGTGACACAACAACAGGAGCTTTAAGTCACTGTTTTAGTCACTCTTCACAGACAAACCCTGTGAAAATGTTTTTAAACTGCACTGTCTGCAGATTAACGGCCAAGGGCACAAAAGAATGTGTTGAATCTGTTCAGTTCACAGTTTAAGACCCCGAACCTTCTGTCTGACGGCATCAACTCACACTGAGTGAAGAACATGGGTTTGGTCTCTGGTCTGACTTTTCACTTCCAAACGGTTTCCACAAAAATTTGCTGAAATGAACTTGGGGCCTCACTCATTATTTTACCTGCTCTTTTAGTCAAAGGTAAAAATCTGTGAGAGTCCAAACATTTGACTGACAGTGTGCAGGTGTGTGACGTGTGTGAAGTCGCCCTCATCAAACACAAACCTCCACAAAAACTATGTCCTTCATTTGTGCTGCAAAAAGTTTTGTTTGTACAATTATGGTTTGCTATTTTCTGCTGATGACGTCACCCCACCCCCCAAAAATGTTAAAACGTTCAAACTATTACATAAATTCTTTGTTTTGTTTGTGCTGTTGTTTGGCGTTAATGTTTTACTTTTTGCGTTTGCATTTTTAAAGTTATTATTTTCTGATTTCGACGATTACATTACATCATTTCAGGCCGCAAATGACACAGGGAATTAGAATTTATGTAATAGTTTGCAATTTTTTTAGCATGTTTTAACAATTTCTAGGGGACGGTGTGACGTCAATGACCGAAAACAGCGAACCAGAATCGCACAAACGAAATGACTGACCCCAGTTTGTGTCGTTTTATTTAATTTTGAAGTTTCCTGGAGCTGCTGACCTCAACTTGACCTGTAAAAGAATCTTTAATATCTCCAAAACTAAAACAGCACAAACCAGCGGCATAGTTTTTGTGAAAGTTTGATGTGGGGCCAACTTCACACAGGTCCCTGTGTGACTGTGTGATTGTGCTTCGTTCGTACTGCTTTCTGCTACTAAAAAGTTTAATTTGTGTGATTATGGTTCGCGATTTTCGGCCGATGACGTCACACCACCACCTCGAAAATGTTAAAACATGCAAATTATCACATAAATTGTTTTTGTTTTGTGCCGTTAATATTTTACTACGTTTTTATTTCGCTGATCATATTACATCATTTCAGGCTGGAAATGACACGGGGCATTGGAATTTATGTAAGAATTTGCACATTTTTTAGCACATTTTAACATTTTCGAGGGCAGGGGGCGGGGTCACGTCAACGGCTGAAAATCGCGAGCACAAAACAACGCAAACGATTGACTCCATTTTGTGTCGTTTTAGAGCATTTTGAAGTTTCCTGAGGCTGCTGACCCCAATCTGACCTGAAGAAGAATAGTTAATGTCTCCAAAACTAAAGCAACACAAACAAAACTTTATGCAGCACAAATGAAGCATAAATGATTGACATAGTTTTTGTGAAGGTGTGAGATTGATGGGGGCGACTTCATCCAGGTCCCCGTGGTGTTCCCCCTGTGGTCCCTGTGGTGTTCCCCCTGATCCCTGTGGTGGTGGTCCCTGTGGTGGTCCCTGTGGTGTTCTCTGTGGTCCCTGTGGTGTTCCCCCTGTGGTCCCTGTGGTTTCCCTGTGGTGTTCCCCGTGGTGTTCCCCGTGGTGTTCCCCGTGGTGCCCCCCGTGGTCCCCCCGTGCTCGCTCACCGCTCCTCCTCGCCCTCCAGAAGTTTCCTGTAGGCGTTGATCTCCATGTCCAGGGCGAGCTTGATGTCCAGCAGCTCCTGGTACTCGTCGAGCTGCTGCTGCATCCTCGCCGTCAGCTCGGCCATCTGCCTCTCCTTCTCCTCCAGACGCCTCCTCATCATGTCCCTCTCCCGACCCAGACACTCCTCCAGATCACGCACCTTCGCCTCCGACTGGGACAACTGCACCACACAGCGACAAACGTTCACCGCCCACGTTCA